AAAATGTACCCCATAGGTTCAAGTATTTGAGCAGCTGGTACTCAGCTGATGGTGCTGGCTTAGGAGGTTGTAGATCTTTGAGGTAAAAGCCCAGGTGGAAGAAGCAGATCTCTAGGGTGGGGCCCTGAGCTGTATAAAGCCCAGCCCCATATTCTGCCCCCTCTGTTTTTGGTCTACCTAAATATAGTCAAACAAGCTCCTGAACCAACAGCCTCCATTCCTTCTCCGTCATACTGACTGACTGTATCCTCAAACCATGAGCCAAAATAAATCCTTCCTCCCTTCAGTTACTTCTTGTCGGATATTTTATCACAGCAACCCCAAACGTAACTAATATAAAGTCACACCGCACTGTAAACTTCCTGGAAGACAAGACTTTCAAATAAAATGGCATAGGGAGGCTGAAAATAAAAACACAGCAAGATATAAAGTGCAATACCAATGAAAAGAAAGCAGGATTAGCTCTACTAATGTCAGGTAAAAGAGAACGAAATACTTTTTACAAAATCAGAGAAGGCCATTTTATAATTATAGACAGGTCAGTATACCAACTAGACACAGCAATCCTACACGGGTATGTACAAGACAATAGAACTTAATGTAAAGCAAAAACTAGTAAAACTAGAAAAAGAATAGAAAAACCTACAGTTAAAATTGGAGACTTCAACAGAACTATAGAAAGCCTCAAAAGCACTCTCAAGACAGGTGTGGTGGCACATGCCTTTAGTTCCAATACTCAGGAAATAGGCAGGAGGATCTCTGTGAGTTTGAAACCAGCCTGAACTACACAGTGAGTTCCAGCGAGGCAGGGATATACAGTGAGAGCCTGTCTCCAAAAAAGACAGACAAAACCCATTCTCCACTAATGGGATCTAATCAGCGCTTATAAAACAACCTACTAAGAACAGCAGGAATGCACACTCATTACAAGTGCCTATGGGACATATATTAAGAGAAACCATGTCTTGGGCACTAAACAAACCTCAATAACTCTAATAAAAGAAATGAAATAAGAAGGTGTTGCCCTGCAGTAGGCTCAAACTAGAAACCGATTAGAGAAAGATAGCAGTTAAGTCTTCAAACACAACATAAATGACACACTCCTCAATAATTCATGAGTCATAGGAAATATTAAATGAAAAAAATGTAAACATCTGAGGAAACATGAAAGTACAACACTGAAATTTATAAGGCACAGCAAAATCAGTGCTGAAAGAAATCTGACACTCTACACAGTGAAAAATCAAGTCTGAGCTAGAGAGATGGCTCAGTGGTTAAGAGCATTGGCTGCTCTTGCAGAGGACCTGGGTTTGGTTCCCAGTACTGACATGGCAGCTAACAACTGTCCACAACTCCATTTCCAGGGAACCTGATGCTGTCTTCTGGTTTCCGTGAGCACCGTTTGCATGTGGTACACTTATATACGTGAAGGCAAAACACTCATACATAAAATAAAAACACATAAAAACAGTTTTAAAGAAAAGCCAAGTCTCAAATCACTAAGTCCACACCTTAAGGACAGAGTACTACAAAACAAATCCAAAGCAAGAAGAATGAAGGAAATTCTTATAAAGAACAGAAAGCAATAAAATGAGAAAAATAGGCAATAAGCAATGAAGCAAAAAGCTACTTCTTTAAGAGATCAGTAAAGTAGATGGGAGAAAGGGAAAGCATCATTATCAGGCACTTAACAGGGGATATTCCCACAGACTCAGCAGGCATGGGAACTTTAATAGTAGATTATGAATAACAAAGGAACACTATGAATCCACACTCAAACTTCTGACAACTTAAACCAAAAAGACTTAATTTCCCCATTTATAAACTATCACAACTTACCCACAACAAAGTAACCTTATGAGTCTTATAAAACATACTGACTTTATATGACAAAAGAAATCTCCAAGCCCTGCTGGTTCAACAGAGAGTTCAACAAAGTATTTAAATGGACACCTGTTCTATACAATTTCTTACAGACAGATAGGAAGGAGATTGACATGGTTTACACCTGTAATCAGAGCACTTGAAAGGCTGAGGCAGAGGGATTGCAGAGTTTTAAGATCTGCTTGGCCTACAGAGTAAATTCTAGGCTAAACTAAAGAGACCCTGTCTTTAAAAATAAGTCCAAAATCCCTACAACTTCAAGGTGAAAGATACAGTACTTCCTCCCTGTAACTCAAAAACCAGGTGTCTTGTGACTTTTCTTCAACAGAGTGCTGCAGGTTCCAGCCAATGCAGTAAGGCAAAAACAAATAGTATATGAAAAATCCCAAGGAATCTATTTAAAATACTCCTAGAACAAGTTCAACAATGTCATAAAATATAAAATCAACATAGAAATCAACTGTATATTGTTTTTAAACAAAACGCATTACTGGTGCTGGAGAGATGGCTCAGTGGCTAAGAGCACTGCCACTCTTGCAGAGGACCTAGCACCCCCTTGGCAGCTAACAACCGCCCATGACTCCAGTTCCAGGGGATTCGGGGCTCTCTTCTGATCTCTGTGGGCATTTCAAGACATGGGTGCACTTATATACATGTAAGCAATACACTCATACACATAAAATAAAAATAATAAATAAAATATTTTTAAAAACCCAAGAAAACGCAGTATGATTTCTACTTGCTCAAAACACAGAATCATGTATTGGCATTCTATGTGATAGGTTAAATATCAACACTGTTCCATTTGGAAACTGATAGACCAGTACTGAAAATAGCAGCAAAATGTTCTAGGACTTAAAAAAATTAGCTTTTACAATAGATCCAACTAAGAAGCTTGCAACTATTTACGTGAAGCATTCAACTGTGAACACTGTTGATTTGAATGTTTAACATCAATCTAATCAGTTGCACTATAGATTATAATTTTCAAACTTTGCAAATTTATTGCATTCAAAAATCACATTTCATACTAGGAAAATACAGCTCGAATATAGGTTTATGAATACATTTCCCAAATCTAGGTTAGACAAGGTAAATCACTGACAATCTATCTGGTCTTATACTTGCTGTTTTCAATGCTAGACAATTAAAATAGGACATTCAGTGCCACTCTTGATGTTTTACAGTTGGTACAAACCAACTGTAAATGTTAATGATTCCATTTATCATTATTAATTAAACTCATTCAGAAATAAAGTTACAGAAGTTTAAGACATTTCTTATGAAGCAAGCCACTTAAAGAGGTAACATTTATAAGATACGCTCAAGTTTGAGATCTTCACATATACTAGATATAAACAAAGTATTAAGCGCGGCATTTTTCTTTCCTATTTTATTACTATTTGAGACAGGGTCTCACTATGTCCTCCTGGCTGACTTAGAACTGGCTATGTAGATCAGACTGGTTTTGAACTCACAAATCCACCCACCTCCCTCTGCCCCTCAAGTGCTGGGATTAAAGGCATGCACCACCACATCTGGCTCTAAGTGCGACATTTTAAAATCTCCTATATCAGAATTTTCTATTTCCTGATTTTGCTGAAAATTGCATTTCTGCAGAGGCCTCACCAGACCACACTAGCTAAAACAGTACCCTTTTCTGTCTCTCTGTTCTTACACTTACTCAGATCTCATGATCCTATAAACCCTGCAAATAGTGCACAGTTCACCCAGTAGAAATGAGACTATAAAAATCAGTAACTGTTGCTGGGTGTGGTGGCATATGCCTTTAATCCCAGCACTCAGGAAGCAGAGACAGATAGATCTCTGTGAGATGGAGGCCAGCTGAGTCTATATAGTGAGTTCCAGGCCAGTTGGGGCTCCAGGGAGATGCCGGCTCAAAAACAACCCTGCGCGTGTGCACACACACACACAAATCAGTAACTATGGACCCCTTATCCCACAATAAGCCTCTGTGCCCCCTTATTTCTTTGACCTCATTTCCTGCCATTCACCTAGCTTGGTTCTGCTCCCATTGTGCTATCCTGTCTACACACTGATTCCATTTTGACTTTAAGGCACCTGCTAGTCTGTCTACCAGGAATATGTATTCCCCAGATTCCTTATATGAATAAGCCTTTCACCTAGTTCAGGTTTTTGCAAATGTTGCCTTCTCACTTAGGCCTACAACAGGACCCACCCACTGGAATGATTAAGACTCTTCATCTTTCCCATCTGCCTCATTCTCTTGATTTTACTTCTATCTTTTATCAATTTCTAACACACTCTCATTTATACATGCACATATTTATTGGTCTTTTCTTTTTTCTACTGTCTGCCCTCTACCCAAGTATGGGTGAGGACTTTTGTCTTGTTATTGAATCTCAAAAGTCTCAAATAGTATTTAGTGCATAGTAGGAGGCTCAATAAATACTTGAATAAATGGAGTAAGGGAATGAATAATCTAATCAACAATTATCTAATTTAAATTTAATCTCAATGATATACTGAAAAATGAACTCTACTACAAATAAATTATCTTTCACAAACCCTGATGCCTATATACTTGCAGCTATCTTGTCTGCAGCAACCATCCTCTTCCGCAACCCTCACATCTGCTCATATATATAATTTTCCAGGCCAATTCTAGCACTAAAAGCAGGTCTTTAAATCATCCTTCTCTCTTCATTTGTTTCTTGAAACAGAGTGTCAGTATGTAACCCCAACTGTCCTGGAACTTGCAATGTAGACCAGGCTGTCCTTGATCTCATAGAGATGTACCTGCCTCTGCCTCCCTCTGCTGGTATTAAAGGTGTGTGTGCCACCATGCCCAGCCCTCATCCTTGGTCTCTCTAAGTCTATGGGGGGTGTGCCCCCCATGTACTGCCTATGCACCTCTCTTTATTTTTCCCAAAGCCTCTTTATCTGTATTGCAATGATGATTTACATATTTTCTTCCAAGACCAACTTATGAGCTCTGTGAGAACCCATGTGTTTTTGCTTTTTGGCATGTAACTCACAACACATAACAGTGGCAGGACTCAATAGATGCTTTGTGTGTAACTAGAACTATTTCTTAAAGTCTACTAATTTAATGATAAATCTTCAAATTTTACCTGCTGCTTGTTTCCTTAGTTTTTCAATCTCCTCTTTCAGGTTTTTTATTTCTAAATCTTTGCTTGCTGTTAGTGGACCATCGATAGATGAATACTGCAGAGCTTGAACAGTCTGTGTTGACTCTTTAAAAAAGAATAGAAGAATGACAGTGATACACTTAAAACATTTCAACTAATGCTAAAATAGTTCTTTATATAAAGCTATTTCTACAGTTCTACAGACCAGAACATCTACTTATTAACAAAGAGCTTATGAACACATTTAAAGCATAAAATTTCATTACATATGTTTAAAATTTCTAAAATATATAAAGATACAGATCTGAATGACTCAACTTTCTAATATATGAGGTTTTCTGTTTTCAGATTATAGATAGTGCAAAGAAGAGAACATTAGGAAGTAAGGTTACAACAATCCAGATGATATACAACCTTAGGCCTTCTTCATAAATGTGGACATTAATGTGAGTGGGATGGGAAGTTATTGGGCGTGTGGATAAGACTGAACTACAAATTATCTAAACTGTGTTTGTATAGAATTTTTTTGGCCATTGTGCTGAAACAAACTGTAGAAAGATGGTGGCACTGGCAGTAGAGATACAGCACATGAACCAGTCAGGAAGTGATTGCAATAACACAGATGCGAGGTGATGGTGGTATAAAGCAGGGTAGGCACAACACAGTGAGTGAGAATCAAGTTCTGACCTGTTACAGTAACAAAGATGATGCACTGATGGATCAGGTATGGGATGTAAGAGAAATAACTACATGGTTTTCCTCCAGAGAACTGAAAGTGTGGAGTGTTCTAGAATACTTTTAACATTCAGAAGTCAAAAAGTTAAGGCAAAATCAGCGAAAGAGACTGAGAAGGACTATCTGTGATGCAAAAGGAGCTCAAGGGACAAAAGTGACCCAGAAGCCATAAAATTAAAGTGTTATATAGAGGGAAGAATGCATAATTGAGCCAAATGCTGTTGACAGTTAAAAAGAAAATGATCACTGGATCTTACAAGGTAGGCAAAGGAAGAAAAGGGGAAGGCAGGGATGGTAAGGAGCATTGACAGTAAAACTGATATTAGTCAGCATGGGGTGGGTTTTAAGCAAACTACCTTCAGCTGCATATGCTGTCAATAAAAGCAGCTGGATACACAGAAAGGGAACAGCAACATTCAGGGTATATGTGAAGGTGTGATCACTAACCACAGAGTAAGAAACAAGGGTGTAAAAGGAACAATGAAGTGGGATTACAAGGTTATGTGAAATTGTTGATAATGGTGGAACTGAAGGAACACTGGAGTTAAAGCATCAAAGTCCACCAGAAAAATTATAAGCAGGATACTACGGAGGACTGTCTCGAAACACAAATTAATAAAGTATTGTTTTGTAATTGTAAGATAATTTCTTGCTGTCCCCAAACAGAGTGGAAGAGGTAAAGACCAAGATTACTGCAGACAAAGACCTAGAAATTAAGAATCCTAAAAGTTCAGCATGTACTTTTTATTTTTAATATTTATTTATTATTTTTATTTTATGTGTATGCGTGTATTTCCTGTAGGTAAGTGCACCCATGTCATGCAATGCCCATGGAAGACAAAATAGGCTGTCAGATCCCCTTGAACTGGAGTTACGGACAGTTGCTAGCTGCCATGTGGGTGCTGGGATTCGAACCCGAGTCTTCTGCAAGAACAATCAGTGTTCTTAACCACTGAGCCATTTCTCCAGCACCAAAAAGTACATTTTAAAATCATCAAAGAGAGCCCACCCAGGTAAGTGTAGCTCTTACACTTCATCAGAGAAGCTTCTTTTTGTACCAGATGGAGAATATCACAGAGATCCACAACAGGTCAAAATGCAGAAATCAATGACTGTGGAGTTCCTATCTCTAATCAGTACATCTACAATGCAACCCATACACCTAAGGCTCAAGGAACATCTGGGAAGAGGGAGCAAAAAAACTGTAAGAGCCAGAGGACCAGGACACCTGCTGCCAGATAGCATCTTCTAGACACAACAAGGAAGTTGCCTAAACAAGAGCTGCGTAATGACTACACCAGTTGAAATGCCAACTGGATGAGAGAAATTTCACAAGGGACCACTTCTAGATGCAGAGCTGCAGGGAATCAATGGTTGCTCAGAGAGGGAGCATCAGTTTACTTCAGGGACAAGCCCCCGATAGGTTATCAATCCCAAGTGCTCAGCCCTAAACAGACGTACATAAGAACACTACTAAATGAACTCAGTAGGTTGTGTGTGTATGGTTTTATGTACACACACGTATTATATATAACCATAATAATCAAAGAGGTCACAAAACTGAAAGAGTGGGGAAAGTGTGGGAAAGGTTGGGGGAAAAGGGTGGAAATGATATAAATATAGTATTCATGTGAAATTCTCAAAATAAAAAAATAATAAATTAGGAGCTGAAGAGATGGCTCAGTGGTTAAGAGCACTGGTCACTCTTGCAGAGGACCCGGGTTCAGATCCCAGCACCCACATGACAGCTAACGACCATCTGTAACTCCAGTTCCAAGGGAACCGATACCCTCTCCTGACCTCTGCAGGCACTGCACTGCATGCAGGCAATACACTCATACACATAAAATAAGAATAATAAAGAAAAGATTTTTTTTTTTGTCTTTTTGAGGCAGGGTCTCCCTGTAGCCCCAAGCTGTCCTGGAACTCACTATGTAGACCAGGCTGGCCTAGAACTCACAGAGATCTGCCTGCCTCTACCTCCTGAGTGCTGGGACTAAAGGAATGTGCCACCACGCCCGGCAAGAAGAGATTTTTTAAAATTAAACGATCATCAGAGTATGATGTGAACAATGTGTAAGGGCTGAGCATGTAAGATGAAAATCCACTAATGCGCTATGTGAAGGCAAGACGGGTCCTTGTTTTTTCTGACAGTTCCATTCCCCTGTCCCCAGAGGACACAAACATTGTTTTGTTATTTACTGTGTGATTTCTACACAAATGGTACTTTCATATATACTTTTCTGTATATAGCTCTATAATTTGACTTTTTACCACTTACAAAAAGTCCTCTTTTAAAAGATAGAACAATTCCTTGTAATGCAGTTCAAAGCACTGTAACATCAAACAAGAAAAACATTACACTATTTACCTTGAAGTTTTCTACTAAGCTCAAGTTTTTCCTGTTCCAGACGCTTAATTCTTCTTTCATAAGCTTCAGTTGCTAAGTTGTTATCTAGAGTCCTCTGGACATTTACATCAAGATCTAGTGAGGTGGGACCAGCTGTGACTCTTAAACAGCTTCGATCAGAAAGAACACTAAATAAAAGAAAAACATAGGTGGGTTTACAATGCAATAAAATTTGAAGAAAAAGAGATTTAAAATTCCACATATAAACCAAAGATTTGAATATCTACAATAAAATCTAGAATTACATAAAAGGACTATAAAAAACACTTTCTGCAAAAGTTATCAAAAGCTACTTTTGGAAGTATTTTTAAATGGAAACTGAAATCCCTCAATCATCTTTAATTTTAAAAACAAAAAATAATAAAACGAAATTTGCTGAAGGACTATTAGTTTAAAACAATTTGATGATTACTGAAACAGTAGTCAAAACCACCAGCCATGTGTTTTTGTTAGAATTTGAAATTCAAAACTTTAAAGTTGGGTGTTTTTCTGAATGTAGATTAAAGTTATGTGAGATGGTGGGCATTCATCAGTGAACTAACCAGACAAAATTCTTTGTCAATGGTTTAAATTCTAGTGACACGGATAGAAATAAGATTATATTCAGTACAGAGAATTAACTGCTAAAAAGAAAACATGGCGAGGCAGGAAGGAGAGAAATGAAGTCCTGAGGCAAGAAAATACAAATTTAGATGAAGTCATCAGAAAAGCTATGCTTGTGAAGCAACAGAAAAGTGTAAAACACCAGTAATGGCAACATGAGAAGAAAGTGCCAGAGGCCTGAGACAAGACTCTGGGTGAGAAAAGAGGTCTGTGTGGATGGAACTGAGAAACTAAAGAGTAGTTGTTGAGCAGGAAAACAGTCAGAAAGGTAAGAAGGAGTCAGCTGCAAGGGGCCATCTAAGAACTTTGGTTTGGAGTTAAGAACACAAGGTAACTGGAGTTGGAGAGCAGAGGGGACTGGCCCTGAGCAGGGAAACAGGTCACGGCTTACCTGTTAATAGGACAATTTTGATAGATGTAGAGAAATATAAGAAAGGAAGTTATAAATATATTACCTCGGTGGTTAAGGCAGATTTTAAGCAGAAAAGAACACTATAAAGACACACTTAGATGTCATGGGAGAAGTCCAATGATGGGGCCCTAGAACACTTTGATATTCAGAAATAAGGGAGATGAGAACCAGTTTAGAGACTGAGAAATGGACAGAAAGGTAAAAAGACTATCAGGCAAGTAGCCTGGAAGCCAAAGTAAGTATTTTAGTGGTGTAGGGCTGTGGCAAAGAAGGTGAAATAAGGCAGCGAGTAAGACTCCGACTAAGAAATGATCACCACAACTAGTAATATAAGAGCCAACGGTGGTGCTAGTAAAAGCAGTTTGTGTGAAATAACTAGGGAACAAACCTGAATTAAGTGGATTCAAGAAAGAGCAGCCTGAGAAAAATGCACAGTAAACACTAATTTATACGGCTGAGAAATAACTGGTAATATTACAATATTGAGAAAGGCTCTGTATTTCAAGATGACGAAATAACTACACATCTGGTAAGTTGGTTGAAAGGATGTGAGATGCAGATTAACCCATAAAGGGGAAAAGGTTATGGCATAAAAGTGAGCAATGTATTATGCTAGGCAACAGGGATGAAAGGAATCAGCCTTAGCTAGGCATCTTCATGGTCCATCCTTGAAAAAGAAGAGCTTATGTGAGTCCAAGGGGCCCAGGGGAAAAATGCAATGACAGGAACTTGGAGTATGTAGTTGGTGTCAATCCTCAGCAATGGGGGAAGCAAGATCTTCAGTGGAGAATGAGGAAGACCAAGGTTTCAGAGGCAAGAAGAAAGCATGAAATGATCACCTTGGAACAGACAGGACAGAACAAACCAGGATGACTCATTATGAGCCACTCAATAGCAGGGGAATTAAGGCTAGTGAACATCAACTTAAGAGTTAGTCTAGGTGGTAAGAGCCACCTTGAACTGCTTAGGTTCAGACAGAAAAGTGGATTGTAATGATCAATGTTTACTCAGCAAAGAAAATATAGCAGATGAGAGAATTGACGTGGTACACAGAGAATGATTACAATCATTCATAGTGGAACTGGACAGGGAAGAAAGAGAGACTGAAAAAAGGCGTGAGGAGTAAAGGATGGTAGGATCAGTGGGCTGAGAACTGTGGAGCTGGTCATCTCTAGAGTATTTATACATTGCCATGGTGCTCCCTAGTTCCTGCCCTGTTGCTAAGGGTTAGGTGCTCAGCTACTTATCCTAGTCCTTTCCCTCCAAAATGAGTTGATTCTTAGACATTTTTTTCATTTGTAATAGCTAACTTTTTCCAACACTGAGTTTGTTTTATTTTAAATTTATAAGGTGCTGTCACATTTTTAAAGGTTCAATTTAATTTGTTACAAATTATGCAAATTGCATTGAATTCTGAAACTTACCAGCTACTAGTATATGTAAAACCAACAAATGGTAGATGATGGCCAGAAAATGCAGTATGTGTTGGTGGGGGCATTGTTTCCTAAGGAAACAAAAACACAGCAATCTGGTAAAAAATAGTCTAAGAGAAATTCATATCTGACTTGAACATAGTACCTAACAGTAAAAAGTGAAACATAATTAACGTAAAACTTGCATTAAAACCAAGAAAATAAAACAACCGAATAAATTAACAGTTCAAAATAAGGCTAAAAAGACAAAACCCCCAAAATTTTAGGTTCTTATTTTCTTTTTCATTTTTATTGAGCTTTTGTACATTTCATATAACAGTTCTTAATCAAATTTAGACTCTCCTCTCCCACCTATCTCCCCCCAATCAGACTCGTGTATTCTACCATACATGTTAAGTACTAGCCAGTCAAGCATTTCTACCCAGATGTTCTTCAGTGCAAATTCATCCACTGGAAGTCTAGTTAGCCTATTGGTAAGTTCTGATTTTCTTACATTTTAACTTAATATAATCAGTGGTTCAGAACAGAAATCAATATAACACGCTGGCCTTGCTATGACCCACAAGCTAAGAATGACTGGATATTTGGCTAAGTCCTCTTGTTCTGCCATTTGTCTCAAGCAGAGACAGCCTCAAGCATGGAAGACAACAGACTTCCACTTTCATTCCCTACCAAGTTTGTCACTTTTGTGACAACACTATTGATACTAGGTACTGAGTCTTCCAAATCAAGGTTCCTCCTCGGCCAGCAAAGTGCTGGTTTTGACATCCCAGAAAAACAACCAGGCAGACAATGGGGTGAAAGGTAGGGGGTTGTGATATGTATGACTTTAAAGTTCAGGAGCTTTTCATGAATAAATACTTCTCTATTTCCCTTTGGTTAATATATTAAACATGGAAATGGTTGTTCTGACCATTTTATTTTCTAGTTTCATGGTTGGTTTTAGAGAGAAGGTTGTAATCCCCTTCACTTTGCAATCATGAAATGTACTTTTTAAAAAAATATT